TCAGCTGCTTTAAGAGACAGATATTTGGTATGGAAGAGAGGGGGTTTTTTGTTTTTTTTTTTTTTTTTTTAACAATTTGGCAACAGTCTTGACTCAGACAAAACAAACTGAAATTTCTGATGTCATCTGAAATCCTTCTGTCAAGCACTGGAATGGGAACTAGGATCACCAAGGAAGGAAAGAGAAATATTTTAGTTCCTGCCCTGGCCACAGGGATGATACACTGCTATACAAACTGCTAAAATGATGTCTTACTGCTTCAATACTGATAATCTCTACTGTCCCCTTAGCTGGTTTTGAGACCTAAAAAAGAATCATCTGCATTTTCAGATAAGCCAATCATGCTTTACCAGGATTAGAAAATACAATGAAAAACCTAAAGGGAGGAAGATAAAAAACAAAAAGTGAGCACTTAACAGGGAGACAAGAAAAAAAGAAATCGAAAGAGGGAACTAAATAGATGAAAACAAGGGAAAAAGATAAGTGGATGCAAAGAACAAAAAGGGGTAACACTGTTGAGAAGAAATTAAATAAAATATTTCAAGAAAAGCAAAAGGAGCAACAGAAGCTTGGAACAAGGATTTCACAAAGCTGTAGGAAGTAAGGGAACTTGAGAATGAAAGTAAAGAAAGAATGGTCTTTAGGGCTCCAGTTTCCCCATCAATTTTAACTCATTTTCAGTACTTATTTTTGGCTATGCATCTTGCATCTTCCATAAAAATGTAAGGGTTCAGTGTTTTTTTTTAATCTTCCCCATACTTCCAAAGGGAAAATTTAAAAAAAAAAGGTATTTAGTAAGTTTTTTTTTAATATTCCTGGGGAACCGTCATGAATGGAACATCCTGAGCCATCTTCCCACATTTCTAACGCACTTGTGCAAACAGATTTGCACATGCAAATCAAAATTCACTAGTGCAAATTGTAAGTGACAGAGGCACACTAGACTTTGCATATACAAATTATGTTAGGTTCAATTTAGCAAGCATTTATTAGGAAGCTTTGCCCTCAGGCATTTTTAAACAGGTTCACCCTATATTCTTTCTCTGTGGGAGAACCACCTAGAAAAGTATTTTTCTGTATGAGTGCCCCACATCCAGAAACTGCATTGCTGTCAAATAACTTTATGGGCCTTAATGTACCATAGATACTAAAAATTAATCATTAATATAATCAAAAGTCCCTTTAAAGAGATTTTTCCATTTCTTTTGTGGTAGATGAACTATTTTGTCCTTCTTCTTTTAAATCCTGAACCAACTCTGCTCAGTGTTGTGCTATAGATTGAAATTGTTTGGAATACTTAAGCATTTCCAGTGATGATCCTAAAGAAAAGTGCACCAGAAGTCTATCAGTCATTCTGCCTTATGGAGAGTGTGAATGTAAGAATGTCTCCTTTGGGACATGACAAAGCACAGAGTTATTAGCAAAACACATTCAGATGACACATCTATAGAAAGGAAAGCACCAAGGAGTTATAAATTGCACTTAGACCCTCTGTGGCTTCTGTTAGACCCAGAGGTGCTGATTGCTTTCTCCTTGTTCTACCCCTATGGCCCCCAGCACAGCATCTTGTATTACACCCACACTAGGAGCAGCCCCATCACACCTGCCCACAGCCTCAGTGGAATAGAGTCTTCTCATTAGCCGTGCAATTACAGCCCTTCCTAGACTTGGTTTAATGCTGATGCTAAAGAGTTTCTTGCGCCTTATTTTTCCTCCTCCCTCCATTTTCTGCTACCTCTTCTCCCCAGGAAGGGCAGCCAACCACTGATGCCAGAGGAAAACAATTAACTCTCCTTCCAGGGCTGGTAGAAACAGAAAAAACACTCCGAGGTGTGTAAGGATCAGAAGGAAAAGAGATGTGATGTCAATTAGAATACTTCGTTCACCAAAACGTTTTGATATTGATGAAAGGCTGGAATTCTCATGCTAGCAAGAAGCCAGGAAGAATTTCTACTGTAGATTCTAAAACCAGATCTAATAATTTATATTCTTCCCTTATAAAAACATGACACAGCTTGCCTTAATTCAGCTTTTGGTGGCAGAGGTATTTTGTGTTCCTAAGGAGTCGTGCAACACTTACATTGAGTCACTAAGCCCATCAGTGTTTCTGAACACATATATAACAGCAAAATTTGTATGCAGTATCACAAAAAAAATAATAAAAAAATTATAGACTGCGGAGCTTCTGAGGTGCCAACCCAGAAAAAAAAAAAAAAGGAGAAAAAAAATACCTGCAGGAGAAAAAAAAAAACTACGGAAAAAAAGAAAAAGAAAGAATAAGAAGAAAAAGGTTTGTACCTACAACCACCAAAGTCTTATACTGAAAACTCCATCTTGGGCACATGATTCTTGACACCCAGTCACTCTCAGGTCGCTGGCCTAACTGAAAAGGAATGAATGCTAAGCAGGACTGAGTTAGTTAGGCAGACCAGACACTGAACGCTCCAGTAACGGTCTCTGAATGAGGCACCTAATTGTCCCTCACCATATGGGGGACACAAGCCAACAGGCTCAAGGCATATGATTAAATTATCAAATTCTTCAATTTTATGTTCACAAAGAGCCTTCCCAGTTCAGTACTTTTTCAGCAGAGGAAAAAATAAAATCTGACATTTTTCCTATACTCCTGAAAAAATATGCTAAGTACTCAATCACTCAATTCACACAATACGCAGTAAGGTATGAGGGGACTCCTTCAAGAAAGGTTTAAGCTGTCTTTTACATTTTATTAGTGCATGGTGTAATACAAGAGTCCTTCTCAGCACTGAAACCTTATCTTTAAATTATATTTTAACTGACTCAGCTTTATCTGGAACTACAGACTCTGAGGAGTCTAAAACTGTTTCTTCCTCTTCTGGTAAACTTCACTTTATTAATTTCTGTCTACATTTCTGCAGGTTGTTGTATATTTCTTTTAAGCACTCCATAGTGTTAGTAATGCTTGCTGCTGTTTGAAAAGGTTTGTGTATCTTCTGCCTCTCTTAGTTAATTCATTAAGATACTAAACAAACAACTAGCACCCAACATTGACTCTGCAAATTCTCATGAAATGGTTTGTTAAAAGCAGATACAATGCTGTTACCAACAATGCTGTTACTCCTCACCAAGAACAATCCATCATTCTCTAAGTTGAGCTTTTCTTTTTACACACAGTCTACTGAGGTTTGATTTTTTGGTGGGGTTTGGTTGGAGAGGAGTGGGCATGGAAAAAGGTGGGTGTTATTGTACTTTCTAAGGTATTCAATGGAACTGCAAAATAATTTTTAAAAAAGCAATGGGCAACAGTTACCTAAGTCATTAACTGCCTGATGGATAAGCTAAAATATATAGAGAAGTCAAGCCACAGACATACTTAACCAGATACAGCTCAAAAACAGATATAAGGACCTATATCTGCAATCAGTCTAACAGCTGGTTTTGAACAAGTGACATTTCTAAAAGATGCACTGAAAACCCTCACATTCTGTATTCTTAACAATTTCAAGACATCATTCAAAAGTAGTACAAATAAAAAAGAAGGAATAAGGTCAATCCTGCAATATGCTCACGAAAAGCACGTTTCTGCTTTCTGCACCTACACTTCTCAGCATTTGTAACTAAAAATAATCTTTGTCTGCTACAACCACCAAAATTGTTCTGTCTGCTACAGGGTTATCAAAATACACACTGTCCCTTTTTCCAATTTTCTCCATACACAGTAGGAACAAAAGCAATCTCATTTCATTTAAAAAATCTTTTTCAAAGGCTTACATATTGAAAATTCACAAGCAAGAACAAAAATACAAAAGCGTTGGCAATTGAAAAAGACACAGCAAATAATTTCAAGCAGCTAAGGACATAATGAAATAGCAGCAACTTTAAAACAGTAACAGAGAGAAACACCAAAACACCATTACCTTGAATTCTTTTTCAATGTTGGCCAACTTGGCAAGTTCATTGCTGAGTTCTAGAGCAGTAAGTACTGGATCTTCACTGGAGAGGGAGAGATAAGCCGGACTAGCCAGTCCTTTGTATGCATTTATTCTTGACCTAGAATGACTGAAAGAATCATGCTTTTGTTTCTCTGTGCAGTCATTACATTTGCAGAAATAATCATGGGGTCTTTCTATCCTTGCCCCTTTCATCAACAGCATGTGCACGACTTCGTATTTTTGGCAGTGGGCAGCTAAAATTATGGGAGTGATGTCTGGAGAGAAGCGGGTACCGTCTTCGTCATAGGAATAAAAATCATCATCCTGGAGCTCCTGCTCACAAGGGCTCAGAGTCAGTCGCTTATTTACTGAAAACCCAGGATGATTCAAAATTGCTTCCACTATCCTAATGTAGCCCTTGCTGATTGCAAGCAGCAGGGCATCTCCGATCCGTGCCAAGTTCTCCTTTTTCAACAGGAGTTCCGTCACTTCCAAATGTTCGTTCCCTACAGCAAGCTGCAAGGCGTTTTGGCCCATGTAGTCAACACAGTTGACATTCAGTGTTTTTGACTCCTCCAGCATTTTGCGCACCACAGGGATGTTCCCGTACTCTGCTGCATCCAGGAAGCGCTCCTCTTCAGCCGTCAGACTGGTGCCCCTGTTGTTGAACATGAACGCGGGGCCCCTAATGGCCTGTCGCCTTCCTTTCTCCCTCATCATAGTCATCCGCCTCAGAGATGGACTTTCTTCCATGTACCTAGTGAGGAAACAGGGAGGTAATGGAATCTCACTACGTCAGTTGTCTATAGATTCCACTTCTCTCACGGCTACAAAAATAACAACTTGTTTTGTCCCCTGTCGTTTGCCCATCTACTGACAAGAATGAACTTTATTGTAATCCTTCTGCCTTCGTGCTTGCTTATCTGCAGCCCCGAGGCACTTACAGGTTCAATGCCGCAGGCCATTTCTGCTTTTTAGCATGGTTGAGGTTTTTTCTTTGCTTTGTGTAAGACATCAATTACCTTCAAAAATCCCTCCCAACTCACTTCAGTATATATATAAAATGAACACACATCTACTGTACTACTTCCAGGAGCAATTAATACTGCCCACCACAGGCATTCAAACTGATGGTTTAAAGAAGGTGATATTTATGCTTCTCATATTGTAGTTCACATACAAGAGAGGTGAAAACAAGCTTTGTTCCTAATGTCTTGCCAAGCAATACAGTGAGGCCTGATCTCCTGCCTTCTAGCACTACTACCACAAACCAAATCTCAAAGAGCCTATTCACTAATCAATTTAGCAGAAGTGTAACTCTTTGAAACACAACAGTTCATAAACATTTAACCCACTTTTTGTATGTTAGCAACTAAACTTGTCACAGATTCCAGATACCAATTCAGAGCAGACTGGGATCAGCTCTCACTCTAGCTAGACTTCTGCAATGCCATGGTTCATATTGGGCCTACTTTTGTATTTCTATACACCTACCATTCCAGGAGCTAAAAGTAAGAAGCTATCTCATGTTATTACATGAGTGTTTATATATAAATATATATTTAATATATATATATAAAAATATATAAAAATATTTTTTAAAGCTCTCTTGCTTTCTTAAAATACAATCAAGAAAAATGGGAAAGTCAAGGAGCTACTGAATGAAAATTGGGATGCCAGGCTGCACTGGAAAGAGAAAAACATAGGAAAGTGAGATTGCTTAGGAAAGTAAACTGAGAATTGGAGAGGCTGTGAATTCCCCTCAAAAATTGGATGCAAAAACAGGAACAGGGGAAAAAAGTAGAGGAAGAGAGGAAAAAAAGAAAGGGTCAATAAGCTAATTCAGAAAACATAGAAACTGAACCAGTAAAGATACTGGCTGAGAGCAGTAGGGAGCAAACAGGAAAGCACTGAGAAAAAAGAGACACATCAGGTATCAAGCTGAATCTAGCTAGGGAAGGAAACTAGAGAGGGCAGAAGAGGTTCAGAGAAGGGAGCTTAGGAGCTGCAAAGAAAACAGACTCAGACAGGAGGTTAAGCAACAGACACTACCTGGCTGAAGAAAACAACTGCTGGGCGAGGTCTGAAACAATGGAATAGAGGGGATCAAGCCACAGCTGTCACAGCTGAAGAAGAACAGAAGCATTTACACCTGCCACAGCAGAGGCCAAAGACCTGAAAAGGTCTGCAAATAAATGTGAAAACCCATCAGCAATATCCCTTCCCTTGCTAGTCTACCTCAGTACTAAGGTGGCCTCCAGCTGCTACCAGTTAATCCATTAGCTCAATGGAGAGAGATTACTTGAGCTGATTTGATGGGCAGGGAGACATCAGTGCAGCTGATAAACAATATACGAATTAATGGAGGGCATGCTTTGCATACAGAGAACATTATATATATACTACACAAACAGGCCTTATAAATTTCTAATTTAGTCCTATGTGCTTTTGTTCCTCACCTATAGAAAAAGAACAGTTGGCTCCCGTTTTACAGGAACATTGTGAAAATAATGCAAAGAAGTCAGATCCAGGACTAAAAGGCCAGTCAGAAAACTGAAGAGGAAATGAATCCTTTTACCCTCAGTGCAAAAGCCAGGTAATGTGCAGTAGGAGCAATATGGGTCCATGTAATGAATGCTGAAGGCAAAGCAAAGTATTAAACAGTCCTTTTTAAGCAAACTCCATCAGTCTACAAAAGGACAGACCAGGGGAAAAATGCCACCTGCACCTTTGGTGCACACAAAGATTATTCATTTAAGTGAACATAGAGGAACCTGCACGGGCAGCTTCAAAGGCTAATTGCTGCAGGTTCATATCCACAACCAGAGCAACAGCCACTCAAATGCAAGCGGGCAGGTTTTGTGTGTGTGTGATCTTTCAACAAGGAGCTTAGCTATATTACCACTGTACAAAATAAGCCTGTTGACATCACTGGATTTCTCCATATGTAGCAATGCCAGCCCTAATGGTTTTCACTGGGCATAACTAATTCAATTCAGCTCTTAAGAGTATGTCTGGCTCTCCAGTGATCTGCATCAGCTGTAATAAATTCAGCAAAATTTAAAATCTTAGTCTTTAAAATCTTTATCTCAGCTACAAATATCATAAAAGCTAGTCCCTGCTGAGAACATTTCTGTTAACACAAATGGGCAGTTTCAGGGCAGACCAGGTGAAGAGACTGAAATACTCATTACCAAGGGCAAGTCTCTCCGGGGATGATGTATTTGATCTTTTTACATTTTCATCTGTGGTTGGTATTTCTAGACTACCAGAAATTACCTGGGTGGCACTACAGTATAAGAAATGCTAACTGGTATTTATATGTGCCAGAACTGCTTTGCCTAACATGACAGGACCCTTTTATTTTTTTTTTTCCCCTTCTGTATGTCTTTTTTCAAGTTTATGAAAAAGGCTGCAGGGAGGATCTGTGACTCTGTTAAACACAGAATTGATACAGCATCTTAAAGCTCGGGCATATTTCAAATTTGGGAGTACTTGGATACAAAGGTTTGAGCACAGAGCACACATGGTGAACAGCCACAGTATACTATTACCTTACTCCCCAACAAAAACAGAAGTAAAACCAGAAATACCACTTTTTCATAGTTACATTTTAAACAAGATCTTAGGGTCTTCTATGCTGATATGTTTCTTTTCTTTCTCTGTATCTAAAAACATTCAGCTACAGAAATGTAGTTGTTTACTGTAATGAAGCATATGTGTATTTAAAAAGTAAAAAAGACAGATTGACTCATGCTGACTTCTTGATTTAAGAAGATCCTAAACTGCCATCCTGAATCTCATTTAGCTTTTATGAAATACATAACAATACATTTCTCCCTATGTATTCAGTGTAATTTTTCAGCAGATTTTGAAATATAAAATTACTTTTCTGTTTTATGTTTCTTTCAAAACCCACTGTCTGACTTCTGTAAAAAGGGAGAGACCCTTCCAAAGGTGTTGCGTTAGAATATCTACCCAATAAGGTAGATTTCCCTAGCCATAAATCTTGTGACAGAAATTATATATTTGAAGTGACTTCAATATCTTCTCAAAATAAAAATGAAAGTTGCTTGGTATTTTAATTAGTATAATACTGTTAAGACCTCTGAAAAAAAAGCAAAAAGCAACAAAGCCAGTACACCAGCACACAGCCTGTTAGGTTCTGTTAGGTTCACCCATACGCCCTTCTTCTCTTTCTTCCCTTCTTCCTTCAGAAAATTCAAAGACCAGAATCAGAGATCTGGTCTTGATCCAATTCTGAATCAGATCAAGATCAGAGCCATCACCGCTCTGATCTGAATACTGTATGGAAGAAACATCAAGTACAAGGTCTCCTCTTCCATTTTCTCATCTCCTGCTCTTATATCTAATGATTTTAACCTATCCCAAAACATAAACAAATTTTTAGTTTTAACTATTTGTTTTCAGCATATTTCAGATGTAATATTTGCCAACTGAAATAAAACAAAAAAAAATAATCTGAAGTCACATCTCTAAATATGAATAGACTAGCTGGAAAATATTACTAAAATAGAACTAAGTGTGCATTAATTATCTGTGTTCCATTTCCTAAAGCCTTTAAAGTTCATATTCTCAACCTTGTCTCTGCAAGGAGCTGACAACTTACATTAAAAGAGGGGAGGAGTGACGGAAATTGGGATACTCCTCTTCCCAACTGTTTCCAATAGTTAGAAGAGCCAAAAAACCCCTGAAGATCTGTAGAGTACATGGCAAAAAATCCACAAGAACAGCAAGCAAGAAAAATGCCTGATTATTTTGTTAACTCTTCAGCAGAGGTACAAGACATTAAGTAAGTTTTAGCCCTAGTACACAAGTTGCATGATTACACTCCGTGCTATGCAACAGGAAGGTGAGAGCACAGAATTCAGTCCCCTTTTGCTGACATGAAGCAGCAGCTGAGCCCCTCCTTTTTTTTCCACAACTATTTTTGACATTTCACAGCAGAAAAACGGCCAAGGGGTCTATAAAGCCTCAAGCCTCTGTTATCTGCTCAACACAAATAAGAAGGATGGAACTGGAGATGAGCAGCCATGTTAACTGAAGTACACCATTTTCATGTTAACTGAATTGACCAGTTCCCCCACATCTGGACACGTTTTGCTTGGCCCGGAGTATACACCAGTTAAGCAGCTGTTTTCAGGAACCAAAAAGCTTCACTGACAAGAAGGAAAAACTTCAGAAACTGTATAGCAGCCTTCACAATAATTCGTTCATCAGTATAAAACGAGGATGGTCTCAACTTAAGGAGTTTTATTTGTTACCTATTCTGTTCCCATTAGCCATTTGCCAGCTTAAGTCTAGTTCATTGCTTCCTACTTAAGCAAACTCTCAGTAACTTCAGTGATAGCTGTAAATGAACATAACTCACTACCAGATTATTAACAATTAACCAAGACGTGACAGGACTCTAAGTGAGCCCCTTTTTTGAATAATATGAAAGCAGGACACCTCAATTTCAGTGTTGCAGCAGAACTCTCACATTATCATAGAATCACAGAATGGTTTGGGTTGGAAGTTCATCTAGTTCCAACCTCTCTGGGCAGGGACAACTTCCACTAGACCAGGCTGCTCCAGCCCCATCCAACCTGGCCTTGTACACTTCCAGCGATGGGCCAGCCACAACTTCCCTGGGCAACCTGTGCCAATGTCTCACCACCCTCACAGTGAAAAATTTCTTCATGTCTAATCTAAATCTACCTTTTTCCACTTGAAAGCCATTCCCCCTTGACCTAT